ATAAAAACGAAAAAAATGAAAAATTTTACGTTTACTTTTTCATGTATATAACGCGAAAGATATCGATTTATATTAGATAAGTGCGTATATCACTTAAAGTCCGCGATCATGAGCGCTCGTGCGTTACTGAATACCGTAATTTACCAGTTTGTATTATAAAAATAATGTCGTTTTGAAATTAGAATTAATAAAATGCTGAGAATAAAGAAAACCAATGTTATTCTTTATTTCCGCTTTTAAATTACAGAAATGATCATTAAGAATAATATATTGTGTAAAAATATTATACATTAATTTTTGTATCATTTATTATTATTATATTTTTCACAGATTGATTTATCTGTTTCTATGTCTTATCGACACAAATAATAGCTTTTAATAAAAAATTCATGAGAAAGGAATTACAATTTTGTTAATGCGAATTATTTCTAATCATTAGGATGTTTAAGAGTGATGCCAACTAGTACAAAAAATTATCTGATATATTCAGTTTTCTGTTTCCTAAACTAGAAATGACACAAATTTCGAAATTAATATCGCTCGTATTCTTTTGATATAACAAAATATTACATCATTACGATGATAATATATGAAATCTATGAAAATATATGATGTCAATTTTATATTGATAGCAAAGAAGATTCATTACTTTCTCTCTTACCTTTGTTTCCATTACTTCATTTTCTCACTGCTTATGATCGATCTTGAAAGAAGTGTATGTTTTTATCATTATCTTGATTGATTTTCAATAGAACGATCGAGTATCCAATAAATGTTATCATTGGATTTAATTCTTATCAAACAAGGAAAAAGGAAAAGTGTCTTAAAAAGTACAGAAAGGAAAGTGACTTCTCGTTATCGAATATATTTCACAATAAAACTCTTAATAAGAACCGATGTTAAATTGAAAAACAAAGTATTATTGTTCATGTCCATCAACATTACCATACCAAAGAAATAATTACTTTTTGTTATAAAAACGAAAGTAAAATTATTAAAATAGATATTTTTCAAAATGAGTTTTATCCTATAATGATTAACATTGTAGTCTCTCTCTCTCTCTCTCTCTCTCTCTTTCTTTCTCTCTTTCTCTCTCTCTTTTTCTTCATTGTCTCTCTCTTTTTTGCTCACACATTATTTAGATCATATCATAGAAACATGGTCATATGAAGAAATTAGGTCATATTAGGAATATGGTTCGAATACTCGTTGAGAACTTCGCACAATGTTTTCTAGACGATCCCTTTATCCTTCGAATTCACGTACGGAATAACCCTCATTAAGGGTGCATTTGCGGTTAATGCGAATTAGGAGAATATATTAGTCACGCTGGGAATTGCAGACGCGTGGGAGTGGAATTTATAAATCGGAGCCTACAACAAATCGAGGAAGTTGAGTACATATATACTTCTTAAATAATACTTAAAAAGTTTTACAATAGTTTATGTGTATTTTATCATCGGTTTTAATATTTTAAAATAAAATAACAACATATGTATTATGTACGTGCGCGTACACATACACACATATATACATATACTATATATATAATTCTTATCGAATTGACTCACACTTATAGGAAATGCTAGTTCGACACACCTGTATGACATTGAAACGGACAGATTTATAAAATATGCCATGACCCATTTTGGTCAGGTTGGTAGAGATAAAACCTGAAGCAACAATGAGACGATGCTTTCTCTGTCGTTACTTTCACCTTTCTGCGGGATACGCTGAGTAATATCCGTTCTTTTATAGGTCAACCTGTAAATATTTACACACACACGCGTATATACAAGTGAGTCACCTAAAACTCGATTACTTTTGAAGGTAAAAGACAATTTCTCAGGAAGAATACATTTGATTTGAAAAATATAGTAGAGGTAAAAACTTTTATATAACGATTATATTTTTGCTCGCGGTATTATAGTTTTGTTTATTTATTATAATTGACATGTTTTGAACTTGTCTTAATCTACTTTACAAATTTTCTATAAGCAAAAGAATAAAGTTCCACATATAAAAAAATGCCAATGATGGCCATACTTTGGAAAATATGACTTTTGATCAAAAGTTTTAATTTCTAGTATATTAGTCCTCTCGAAAAAAAAGTATATATATATACATAAATATTTTTATACATTTTCTATTATATATAAATATTTTTATGGTTCCAGATTTAAATTATCTATCTGATATATAGGTACATATATTTTGATATAAGAATAATTAGTAAAAATGTTGTAAATAAAAGTTTAATCGAAGAAGAGGGTATTATTCTTGTAGAACCATTTATTTCATTTGAGTGTTCTTTATAAATGATATTTTTTCCTAAAATACTTTAATAGTAAATACTACTTGTGTATTGCATAAATACTATAATTTTGATTGCAGCTTTGTTAGATTACAGATTGTTATATTAAATTTGTATTTTAAATAAAAAATTGATACATTTTAAAACAAAATTGAATAAAAATTACGTACTGATTCAAGCATGTCAGTTTGTCCGAATATAATGAGATTTGAATATAATTAATATGATTAACTAACTATCTGAACTTTATAAATTTTTGATTTCATTTTACTATATCGACGCACTGCTGTATTCCCCAGCCATATATATTTATTTTGCTAGAATGATAAAATGCATCGCACTTATATGCGATGTACGATTATACCATGGTAATACAAAATTAAAATTTATAAGGCAAGGCAAAAGACAGCAACCTATGTCTTTAGACATGAGAAAGGTTGTGAAAGGAAAAACTCATCGAAAAGTTATGATTGCCATAATATGTCTAAACTTTTCTTTAAATTGTTCAACTTCCACGTGGTTGTTTAACGATCATAATACTAAATCTCGCAAATTTCATTCGTTTCTTTATTTTTAGTTTATTTTATTTCGCACAAGCAACCTTGTCAATTTTCCAGATGTTGCGTTATAACGATGATGCTTTGTAATAAATACATTGCTATCTACTCTTATTTTTAAACTATCGACATAGCGATAGGACATTTTTCACGAGCCGCGAGATAGAGCCATTCAAATATTATGATATCTTATCGATATCAAAACAAGCTTCGTGCACTGATTGCAATTTACCTGTATTTGTTAAAACGTTGATAGAAAATTAATTATGATTTTCTATATATATATATATAGTATATATAGTATGTTCTAGTATATATATAGTATACTATATATAGTATATATATATATAATTGTATATATACTATATATGTATATATATATATATACACATATATATGTTATATACATATAATTAATGAAAGAGAAAATGTTCAATTTGCGATAAAAATAATTATTAAATAATTATTAAATTTCAAATTTATACGAATATTTTCATTAGATTCAATCATTTTAAGATTAGAGCAATAAATTAAGAAAAAAAAAAGCATTTATCAGTGATCATCGAACATGAGATTCAAGAATCGTTGGAGCACTTCCATAAATACCAAGATTTCATAAGTATCAATAGGTATTTCCGTGTTGTATCTGGGACACCTTTGCATACTGATTAATGAAGTGTTTACAAAGTAAATCAACGAAACAATGCGACCGTCATGAAGCAAATGTCGATCGGTGATCGTAACAACAACTTTTGTTGGCTGGAAATGTTTTATTTATTGGTTTGGCTGATTGCATGATCCAGATTCGGGTCATTGATAAATCCTTTTCGAAGGTTCGATATTAAAACCATGCATATTATCTTGACTCATAGTGAAACGTACCGTATCAAACGATGATTATCTAAACTTTTCATTATTTATGTAAATGTTAGTACAAGTACGAACCACAAATTTAATAGATTTTTTAATTAGTTTTCATACTTGCTTATTTTTTACTATTAAGATGTATCATAATTATTTGTTTCGAAAAAAAGAAATAAAGCAACTTTTACAGTTTTTGTAATTTATATTACAATAACATTATAGACAGAAAATGATAATCCTAATTATTAGTTATAGTGTAGATTATAAAACATTTTTCAATTTGTATTGCATTGTATCACGTTTGATTCAAGTGTATCAACATATACCATTGCTTTAAAATGTTCGATGAATGATCATCTTTAATGATTCGCCGTATTCGAACGACGATGCTAGTTGATTTCATATGATCAAAATTTGATGATTTTAATTACAAACATTTATTTCCCTTGCAATGCTTTCTTTTTTTCTTATTTTCTTTTCTTATATATATTTTTCAACATTTTTTCAAACGAAGTAATTTGCACCACAAGTAAAAGTGTTAATGACACCCAGCCATCCCCAACGATCATTATTATTCTTTTGCTTCATCGTTGAAAGCGAATATCTTCACGTACTGCCGACGCAAGTCTTCCATTTTTCTCGCATATCTTTTCCTCTATTTTCAACGTATATAAATCATTTGTCTTATACCTATCCACCCTAGGATTTCTACCATGTCCATTACTAAAGAAGGAAATTTATGTAAGATTAATAAAATAAATAGTAGAAGAACCTGAATTAAGCGATACTAATTTTTAAATTATAATTTTTAAAATAATGATTATAAATCGAAATTAGAATTGTCATTTTTGTGATTGCTTTTTCCATAATTTTATCTCTATAATTTATTTTATGTGTAATAAAAAGTATATGTGTGTTATTACATCAGAGATCGCTATTCCATTTTATTGATAATTATTCTAATGAGAAATGATTTTTCATATTAGAAAAAAGAAAAATACTATTGATTATATCATCGATCATGGATAAGTTTCGAAGAAGAGCGGCAACACAATAGATAATATTCGATATTTTATCGATATGAGCAAATGAGGATGGTTTAACGGACAAGCGAACAAGCGGAATGATAAAATTTTTTCGAAGGAGTCCTTTTAATCATGACTCACCGATGAAAACGATATCAATTGGTGCTCTTTATCGAGATAAATCATGATGTTAGGCCAATCGATCGAGGAGAAGAAGCGATAAGGATTAATGAAATATGCTTGTTCTCTGACGGGAATTTCCAGTCAGTCGAAGAGAAGCGTTTAAACTTATTACGTGAAAGTCCGGAAAAAGTTCGTACGTCATGTCACAAAGACGACATAACACGCAAATTCTGTTGTGTGTTTTCTTCACAGGTTTATTTCTTGAATTGATTGAGTTAGGTAACCGTATTTTAATCACTTTTAAAGTTGCTCGATCAAATTTACTTTCAAAAAAAAAAAAAAAAGAAAAGAAAAAGAACGAATGGTTTTCTATTCGGTGATCGAAGATCAGATGTTTATTTGAATAAGTTATAATTTTTTCTTTCTTTCTTGTCTACATCAGGTCAGGGATTACAATGTTACACATGTAATTCAGATATTCATAATGATTGTGCCAATCCCACCTCAGAGAGACTCCAGAATTGTAATCTAACAAATATAATACCATTTTCAATGACAAATTCAATGACAAATTCAATGACAGGTATTATCTATATACATACATACATATATATATATATATAATTAAATTATATTATATTATAAATAATATATATTATAAATTATATTATATTGTTATTAAAAATTTCAATATAAACAACTGTTTACATTGACAATGGATAATAATTTATAATTTTTCTTATGTTTTCTTAATAATTTTGTACTCATTGTGTTTGAAAATTATTAATATTGTTATATATTCACGTGTGTGAACAAATGACTTTATTTCCCTAGATGACTCTACATTTGAGGACATTATGACTGATAAAGTTATGTGCTATACCGGACATATTACATACAAAAATGGTAAGTATATAAACTCATTTTCAATATCGAGTTAATCAATACGAATTAATATAATTGTTAAAATCTTGACATTATTAAAAAATTCCTCATATTCTTTCGTTTTATAACAAATGTGCTTATTAAGACATTCTAATATGAATTTTTATTTATTTTATAGAAAGTGAATATAAAGAGATAATAGAACGGGGATGCATTTCCTCTAACTTCTATTGTAACGATATTCTATGTTTATTTCCATATAATGTGGAAAATTGCCATATAGAATTCTGTCAAAGTGACCAATGCAATTCTTCGGGTATGGTAAAGATGGGAATAATATCACTACTTTTACCATTAATCACAATTTTATTACGTATAAGATAGAGAAGACGATATCTATTACCATAATTAATTATGATTATTACCATATTAATTATGATCATAATTTCAAACAAATAAGGTAATAAAGGCATTAATTGAAGAATATTAAAGTTATTATAGTCATATTTTGAGTATAAATTTATTTTTTTTAATTTAAAACTATAAGAATTTTCACTTTGGTTAAAATGAAAAATATTTTGATAATGACTATAAAGAAGGAATAAATTATGTTATTAATTATAGAAAAGTCTTTATGTATTACGACTTTATCAAACAACTTCCGTGAAATTTCAAATTGTACATTCAGGATGATATGACGGAGATTTGAGACTAATTCGAACATTTCAACAAAGTGAAAAATTTTCTCTGTACGTTTAAGAACGATACACCCATTTGAGCGATCACGGTACAATGACCATTTACCGAGGGGTATCGTATATTCTTCATGGTACAGCAATTACGATACCAACGCGGAACAGTTATACGTCGTGTATACTTCTTATTGTATAAGTATATCAACTTAAAAATGTCGCGTTTCTAAATCTGAATTAGAAACAAATCTGTTAGCACGTCTTTCATAAATATAGGCACATTTCGAAGTTTAAAATAAAAACATTGGTAGATAAAATAAATTCTATATTTGTTAATTTGAATATAATTGTCGTTGTGCATTTGAAAAACCAATAATTAAACAATACAATAACATTATTATTACATCGAGACTGATATTGTTATCGTAAAAAATACAATAATAACGATATGTCTTAAATGATATGTATGCAATAATAAAAGTAAATGCATCATTTTTCATCATTTTATGCAACCAATACGAACGATTTTCAGAATAAACGGAAATTCGTGTATGACTTTCTCGGCTGCTGTATACTTCGTGCGTTCTTCAACATCCGTCAAAAGCACGACTAAACGTAAGTTTACGCGGAATCGCGTTACGCTTACGCGGATAATGTTATAGAGTTATGTAAAACTGGGCCGCGATGCTGTGGGAAATTCTTCGTGCATCTGCCAACGGCAGCGGACCGAACCCTACCTACTTCTCTCTCTCTCTCTCTCTCTCTCTCTCTCTCTCTCTCTCTCTATCTATCTATCTATCTATCTATCTATCTATCTATCTATCTATCTATTTCTTTCCAGTTTCCTTCTGGGTACCACGATCTACCGAAAATTCTCATGCTCCCTTCATAAATCTTCTGAGTAAGTACCAAGAACACGTCACTCGAAATATTCGAGTACAAATTTTTCGAAAGTACGATTGAAAATTTTTCTCAACTTAAAAAAGTTACCTATGAGGATATAAAATATCATAAAAAATAAACAGATAGAAAACTGTATATAGGTCAACTATTTTTATTCTCTTTACTTTAGTTTATTAAATATTATAGGTAATTCGTTTACAAGTTCAAAACTTTTAGTTGATGCGGCTATCTAATTGATTTTTGCGGTTCGCCGGCGAACTATTTGGAGCGAGTTATTAATTTTACTTGCAGTATACCGATACCGAAAACAAGTATTAACGTTATATTATGGAAACTTGATATAAAAGTTGATACTTCGTTATTAATGATACTCGACTATGCTTAAATTGTTGATACAAAGACGTAAGCACAATTTACTCGTATGGTCAACATTACCAATATGAACAAAGTCTCACTTGGTTCTTTATCATGTATTTTAGAATTCGATTGTTGAATCACGTTGTTAAAAATTACGATAAATAATCAGTGATATATCTTATAGTTATTTATCTGAAACAACTATTTCTAAAATCCATAAAAAATCGATCCATAAAAAACCACTTAATAATATAAATAATATAAAATTAACGACTTAATAATATAAAATTCCAAATATCTGCTCATTAACAAAGGTTTAAAATGACTATCATTCGTTAATATTCTTTAAGATTTACATAGATATGAATCTAGTAAAAAAAAATTCCTAAAAAATATTGTTCTCATTTTACAAGCAAGTACGTAGAAACTACGGTTTACATTAATTTATTTATTAGATGTTTCGTTGTCCATACATATGTGCATCGTATACTATTCGAATACTATACCCACTATCTATCTCCAGATTTTCATAAGTCGTCCTATGAAGCGCTAAATAAAATTCGTTATGTCCAATCTCGCAAACTTCTAATATTTTGTATGAGAAAGCAACATTCTCGTAATTTATCAGGGTAGCACCATCCATATCTTCTCTCTGGCATGTCCCTTCTTGCACTTTTTCTTTAATTTCTAATAAATTCAAAGTATTCTATCGTTTAAAAAACTATGAATAAATGATAATCGGTAAAAGTTGTATCTACAGATTTTTATACAGTTCAACGTGATTATTTATTTTATCCATCTTTTTTCCTTCAAGATAATAACGAAGAAAAAATAAATAAAAACGATATACATACAAAATGATGTACAATACATTCAAAATACCCTGTCATTTAAAAAAATTATGAATGAATGATAATCGATAAAAATTGTATCTACAAATTTTTCTTCAATTCAGTGTGATTCTCTATTTTATCTATGTTTTTTTCTCAAGAAAATAACGAAAATATAAATAAATAAAAATGATATACATATATAATTGGAACGTGAAAGCTAACGCGAGATTTCTATAACGCTTCAGACACGAATTAGACAAAACTCTTGAATGAATTTTCTATATAAATCGCTAGTAAAGGGGCAGAGTCTGTCCGCAGCGAAACTCTCGTCCATCGGATTGCAGTCACGGCATGTAAAGTGCAAATATGCGGATACATCGACAAAGAGACGTGTTACCGTCCTTTCCTTCGTTCCGCCTGGTAAACAAGAGCTACCACCGTGATGACTCTTATCCTTAGCTCCATTCACGTTTTTTTCGTTTCTCTTCTACAAAGGAAGGAAGAAAGAAAGAAAAGAAAGAAATAAAGAAAGAAAGAAATAGAAATTACTTCAATTCGAACTACATCAGTAATGGTTTCCTACTTTCCATAATAAATCATTTGATCGAATATTCAAAAGATCTATTGAAGATTTAATTTTATTCTTTTTACTTAAAAATTTTTAAGAAATATTTTGACGGAACTAAACAATGAGAAGAGATTTAAGTGAAGATTTATCTCATGATTATTTAACAATTTTAATATTAGATTGGATTAAAATACAATACTTTTATTTCTTAAGTTTTACAAAGTATGTATCTAATGTATTGAATTTTTTTGAGTATTTTATTAAATTACGAATTTTAATACAAACATTAGCTCTTCGAAGCTTCAAAATATTCAAGATTCTAATTAAGAAAATTATGTTGTATCAGATAGTGTAAAGAATTTCTAAAATAATTAAAAATTGTATGCTGTATCTTCGATGTTTCATGAATCTTAAGAAAAGAAAAGAAAAAGAAAAAAAGAAGTCGAAAAGGATCGGTCGAATTTTTCTCGAGATGACGTATATCCCCGTAGAGATTGATAGTTCTCTCCTAGATTTCCTACTCGAGCGTGCGCGCTTCGAATTTCAAAGAGTAACCGAGCGCGGGAGGCTCGACTAAGCGAGTCAACGCTTCGTGGCGCTTCAGTCGATGGTCATCCTTCGTAAGTGACGGATCGTTTCGTTTTCTAGTTTCTCTTCCTCATAATAATTGTCCCTTTTTTAAGTTTTCATTTCGCAGAACATTTTATCAAGGATCATCCTGAACGAGGAAACAATCCTTAAAAAATTTATCTCACGTATACGTAACTTTGATCGAAGATAAGGAAAAAAATAAAAAAAAAACACAAAAATATCAGTGTCGAGTCCCAGTGTTTTAATTACAGTGTCGATTATGATGCGCGATCAGCGGCTTTAATTTTTTTATAATTATACCCTGTCACAAATCAAACGTCACGGGAATTTTGCGACTAGATTATGAACGTGAGTATTTAAGCTATCTCATTTTTTCTCTCTTTTCGTATTTAGGATATAACGTATGCCTATATAAATCTTTAAGAAAAAAATTAATTTTACGTTATTTCATTTCGATTATCCTCATAAGAAGTTCCTAACGCATTATCTTGGTCATAGGAAAAAAAAAAATCCAGTAAACTTTTAACATATTTGCGATATTGCAACGAAACATTCACTTTCGAAGAAATTCCGTTTGAAAGTTATTTACATAAAGTTCGTAAAAATTTTCAATACATATTTAATGTCAATATTTTTACAAATTGCAATTTTTATTTTTAAAGATAGATATTTGTGGGTTTATCCAACATCGAAAAAAGTGCATACATTATTCTATATATATATATATATATATATATATATATATATATATATATATATATATATATATATTCTATATATGCATAAAAATTTTAAATCATTATTAAGAATTATTATAAACTTTTTGAACAAGAGAATATCATCAACTAAAATTATGAAAAGCGAAGAGATTTGAAAAAATTAACATTTTATCGAATTATATCTATATTGAATTCATTCGTTTGAGAAAAAAAAAGGAAGAAGACTAAATGGCAAACGAAAGATACGCGTTTTAAAAGAAATCGGACGAGATCATTTACAAGATACAATTCTTTTAGACTTTTCGTAGAAGAAAAAATATTTCGCGATAGAAGACGTGACTCGTTCGTTCGTTTTGAGGAAACTAGTGTGCGTACGTTTCATAGTACACTTATAACAAAACACATGCTACTTTTACGACGGGAAAATATGTGAAATCTTGAAACAAGACGATGTGAAATACTTGATAGTTAATAAATCTCATGTTTTTTTTGCAAAATTGATAAATCAAAAACAAACAAAAATCAAAACAGAGATTGAACGTAGATAAATTTAAAAGATTAATTTTTCCTTATTGCCATATAATTATATGATTAATATTATCTTACTATATATTATTGCAAATAATTACTATTTTTTAAATATAATTAAGTATAAACATAAGAAAATCATCAACATATCAGATGTTTATTTAAGATCTGTAGAACACTCGAAATTTTTGAAGAGTGAATTTCTAATGAATTCGAGTATTACTTTATATCAGTTTTTTTAACCATAGTATTGATAATACGAACAATATCATGTCCACAATGCAAAACGTAAAATGGACAAGCGTTTGTAATGAATGTGAAGAAGAAGATTGAAAATAAAATTATTTTGAGAGAATATCTTGTATAGAAGTTCTAAGACAGTTTCCATTTCCATTCTATGCAAGTTCTCTTACTTCGAATTAGCTTTACCATTTTACTGGACCGAGAGCTACCGAGACTTCGACGTTCACAGCGTTTACTGAAAATCGAAGATTTCTGCTTCGTCGAGCTCATTAGGCGCAAGAATTCGCTTATCCATTTACTATTTACTAATGAGGATTACAAAGAGTTCGTTTTACCGGTAAAACAACGTCATTCGAGCGCGTTGATATGTAAGTACTTACTTATTCGCACGCGTCGCATGCACAAACACGAATATAGGCAAAGCTTTTAAAAAGGAAAGGAAAAAGAATTGAACTCGTTTACTTTTCTCTCTTTTTCCTCTAGTCATTTTCTTCGAATTCTGTAGACCGAAATAATCATCTCGAGCAGACTGCACTTTTACGATAATTTGTAATACGAAGGACTTTCTCTCCTCTCTCTCTCTCTCTCTCTCTTTCTCTCTCTCTCTCTCTCTCTCTCTCTTTCTCTCTCTCTTTCTCTCCTCTCTCTCTCTCTCTCTCTTTCTCTCTCTCTCTCTCTCTCTCTCTCTCTCTTTCTCTCTCTCTTTCTCTCTCTCTCACTCTCTCTCACTCTCTCTCTCTCTCTCTCTCTCTCTCACACTGTTTGTGCATCTCTCCTCTTTTCTATATTTTCTTTCTTTTTCTCATTGTCTAATTTTCTGATTTTTGTTTTGTTATTCCCACATACGGAGAAAACGGATATGCTGGGGATAACTCGTGCGAATAATCTGAAAGAAAGTTTTCTGTGAAAAATACTTCCTTATGCTGTGGCAGCAACGTGCAAAGTTTCTTATTCTCAAAGCTTCTTAGGTTACAATACTTCTCGCGAGCTTTTTCGGTCTTTCGTGATTTATTATAATGAACATTGAAGAATCGTAAATCCTTTAAGAGTAAGCTCGTATATATTTTTCTCGAATAATTTACAAATCGTGGCAATAAATGTCACAGATAAAAAGGACTTTCGTAATATTTAAAAATTCTTTCGAACCTCTCCCGTATCCGTTGTTTCCTTTTTTCTTTTCTTTTTTCTTCGCTATACACCGTAATTATTTCCAATGCGAAACGGTTACCACGACGATTTCGTAACTCAACGCGATCGACATATTTGCTTCTTTTTTCTTCTTTTATTTCTTCGTTTTCTTTTTTCTTTTCTTTTCTGACAGAGAAAAGGTAGTTCGACTACGATCGTATTAAGACAAGAATCGTTAAATAATCTGAAACATGGGTGTCACAGTACTTCGGATTATTATCAAAGCAATTCGTCCGTCGTAATTACGAGTGTCTAGTGAAAAACTGACGAGTCGGCCAATGGAAATAAATAAAAAGATAGATGATAGAAAGATATCCCTAACCACGGGATACAAAAGAAACATTTCTTTTCTTTTCCACCGATTCCCATTTCACGATTGTGCCACATTCTATTGTAGCATTAAATTATTTGACCGATTGGAACACGCAACTAGGAGCTAGTGACATTCCACACATGATAATTAATTCTCTTGGCCGATTCTCACGAGAGTCAACCGACTGAAAATAGAAACGCTTATATGTTTTTATTTAGTGAATTTGTATACGACAATATACAAAATAGCCAGTTTGAAATCGCACGAATATTTCGAATTTTTATCAAAACGAAGTTATCGAGATCAGCGGATGTAATCGAGACCGCAAATCAATTTTATTCGATTATAAATAATAATAATAATAATAATAATAATAATAATAATAATAATAATAATGCAACTACGTTAAACATCAATTGAATTTATCATTTTTATATCAGTTTTTCGAAAAAGATATTTATTGTATTGATCGCATGAAGAAGCGTTCAAAGCTTTAGGCAAGTGACCTAATCGATGGTTATCTATATCCGGAGAGCGTGCGTACATATGATTGTATATACAGTCATAGTTAAGAGGAGGAAAGAATTGAAAAGATTAAAAAAAATAGGCACGCGAAATCGCGATGCCGATAAGCTGTATACACGACACACATGGAAATTAGATTAGTATGTCACGTATACACACCTACTAGCATGACCGAATCGAATTCGTTTGTTTGGAAATTTTCTTTTATATCTTTTTATTTCTTGTCTTGTTCAATTGATTGTGTTTTTTCTTTTCCTTTTTTTTTTATCGAAACGAACGAATTTTTTTCTATAAAATGTTTATTTTGTTTATCACTACATTAAACTTATTATCCATTGATTGTTACAACGAACTCGAAACGATGGAAAGATACTACACGTGGGTAGAAAATATTCTAAGATAAAAAGATAACTCTCGATCTATCTTATCGTATTAGACATGAATTCTTGTTGATGAACTATATTATCATTATCGTGGATCATAAAGCACGTCTCTGATTTGCATACTCGTCTCGATATTAGAGAGTGTAACCATGTAACAAACGCTATTCCAGACAGGAACTGCGCCGATTAACTATAGTCGAGATTCGTCGCGATTTTCCAGGAAACGATTCGATAAGGAAAACGTCGGTACGTTTCATTAACGAACGCCGAGAATAATCGTGCTAATTATCGTTCATTCGTTTGCGAATTAACGATGAAAGGAAAAGGATAAGTAACGCGATCAAATCACGCTTCGTAAAAGTTTTTTCCTGAATAATTGTAAGAAAATAAAAATCAAATTTTTTTTTATTTTTCACTATGTTTTTTCCGATTTCACATTATAATAGATATGCTTTAAAATTGATTTAAAGTTATCAAATCATGAAAGTTATACGGTAGATAATAAAACTCGTGCCAGACATTTTTATTAATTATATAGTTACGACGTTGTCCTGCTGATAAAGGGTAGGATGTAGGGTGGAAGTGGATACTTTACAAACATAGGCGCGTCGCGATCATCCATTTCGACGTTAAGAAACAGTGATGTCATCATCTCGGTGATACGTCGAGTAAACAGTCTCGTGAAATATACGTCATAGCATAATACTAATATTGACGAAGCCCCTTTTTGATATTTCGAGAAAATAATTGATAATGTTGGACGGAAAACAGTGAACACAAATTGGACGGCGTATAGTTTCAATTTCTCGAGATAATCGATTCGAATAAATGAAATATTACTCATCATATTTTTATACAAACATTAAAAATATTATTTATTATTAAATTATTTATTATATAAATATTATTTATTATATTAAAATATTATTTCAAAATGTTATTCGAATATTCTGTATAAAATACGATATTTAAAAATATCATATAAAATCAAAACTTTTTATTATTCGATATAATTTTAACAGCGTATTGAATCAACAAAAATTGATGATATTTACAAAGGTCTTAAAAAGAAATAAAATTTGGAGACTTATAGAAATTTGAATTATTTTAATTCGAACATCTAAAAAAAAAGATCTCGAAACATCTATAATAAAGCAATAATAAAACATCGTATATATATCTTAGTTATATTGAAAAAAAAATATGAACTATAAATTTTTTATTTCTATCGAATACTCTTAACGAATTTCTTTGTTATCAACTGATCAAAATGATTCTTAATTAATAATTTTTTTTTAATATCCAACGGTTTCTAGCTCACGCCTACGACTTTCTACCAAATCTCACGTACGCGGAAAAATCATGCATAATGGCGTCATTAGCGTTAAATTGCCATAACGAGATCGTTATTTCACGTTGGTTTGATCAATTAATTCAATTTTATTATCA